AACGACGCATAAAATAACTTCAGATACGCATTTTCTTTGTATCAAATCAGCAAGTGACTTGTATTAGATTTATTTCTATAGACTACATTTTACCCTCGTAACGATATGGTAAAAATTGCAGAAAGCTACAGAATCTATTGCATGTTAACTTTTTGACCTCGTCTTCAGTTAGTATCTGGTTAGTCTTTTTATCAAGACACAAGTGTTGTAAGGTTGGTAAAACATTGTAAGGATTAGAATTTGTTCTAATGGCTCATGTATGGGAAAAAAGAAGTGAGAAGAAGTTCATACAAAAAGAAATCAAATTAAGGCAAAAGAGTTCATCTACCTCCTATATTTACCGAAAGCATATAAAGTTTTGAAAATAATTTACTACGCTAAAAAATTAAAAATTGAACAGTTTAAATATTTAAAGATATAAAAAATATAATATATAAAAATTTTAAATGAATCAGTTTTAAATATTTAAAGATAGAGTTAATGGAAGTCTTTTCATTATAAGAAGCTTTTAGCTAAGTGGAATGAGGCATATATTTCATCTTGTAATACTGAGAGCACCAAAAAGTTCTTTCCTTCTATTTACCATACACTGCATTTTAAGTCTTTCTCCTTTCTTAATTTTAAAGTATTTCAAATTTTATCTGGTCGCGGTAATTTTACATGTTACCTATTTTGTTTCGATCTAAGATCAAGTAATTTATGTGGATGTTCAAAAAAAGTACCTCAAGATGTGGAACAGTTAATTTTTTCCTGTCCTATCTTCGATGGCCTTAGATATGCTCGCAGAACGATTTGAAAACGTTTAGGTTGGCTTGGCCTGTGAACTTATCTGTTTTGCCGCCCAAACGTGATAGTGGTTAGCGACGCTGACTGCTATACCAGAGGGCCCAGGCTCGAATCCCGGAGAAGGCATGTATGTATAGTGTAAATGTATAGTGTCTGTGCTGCCAGGGAGCACTCTAAATATGCGGTGAGCCGAAAGTCCTCTCCCGAGGCTGGTGTTTGGGGAAGAGGGGTGGGAGACCCTCTTCCCCAAACTTTGTTCTTTGTTTTTGTTCGTTTTATTTATGCATGTAATATTTAATTTTATTTAACTTTTTTTACTTTTGTAAGCCCCGTGTTGTACACTTGTAGTGCATGGGGAGATTGTATGTGTTCAAAATAATAGACATAAAATGGAAATAATAAATGTTAAATTAAAATATATGAAAAATCATCGAAAGAACAAAAGTATTTAGATTTTAACTGAAAGCAGTTAAATAGAAAATTTTGTGCAGATTTTATTTATAGCTAAAAGAGTAAATTTTGAACAGCCTTTTTAGAATTGTGAAAAGTTTTCCCTCTATATTGTTTTTAGAGTCTATAGAGTTATAAGGTATTTCCCCCGCCTTCTTAGCATGCCTTCGTGGTATAGTGGTCAGCACGCTCGGCGCGTATTCGAGAGGTCCAGGGTTCGCGGGGGAAATACCTTATAACTCTATAGACTAAAAACAAAATTTACCCCCAGATTTCAAGAATCATCGATTCTCCGCTGGCGCTCCTAAATTTTTCTTTCGCATTCCCTGGAAGTGTGGGCCCTCCAAGTTGACAGCCCCCGGGCTAGTATTGAGTAGTTGTTAGTTATTTAATCTGCAGTAATCTTCAGCTGAAGAATTTTAGAAAATAAATAAAAGGAAAGAGAAATAATGAAGTAGAAATCAACTCGTTTGTAAATAAATAAATTTAATTCAAATAATTTAAAAGCAATTTTTGTTTTTGTTTGAGTCTTTAAAGCAGTATATGACGTACTTTCTCACGTCACTTTCTTAAACACCAAGTGCCCCCGCCCCACCCCAAAAAAAAAGAACTACCAATGAGACTAAAATTTCAGTCTCACATTATTTTCTTCGTTCAATCAAGCTAAATCTAAAAAAGATTCGAACTTATTTTTAATATAAATATTTATTTAATCTTATTCGAGGAAAACAGACTAAGCAGTTTGCCGTAACCGTAACCAGATCTGTACAGGAGCGACAAGATAGATGTTACGTAAGATATGAATGTCCTCAGGAGAGAACTGGAATTCGCCAAGTGTCTGTTCCGTTTTTATTTTCTTGGTTTTTATCGGATTTGGCGTCCGTTTGCTTATCGATTTTATGATGGATGGGCCTTTAGGGAAAGGTATGAAGTAATTCATAAAGAACAACGAGAGCTGACTGATTGTTGAGTCAACTTTCATTCAAATTCAGCAATTCATCGAAGTCTTCCTGACAGAACGTCGTAACTTCTTGCGGTCTTTAGACGACACTGAATCTGATATCTGAATTTCATACGAAAAGCAGCCATCCGTTCAGATCTGCGCGATAGGTAGAGAAGAGGACCTAACGCAGTCGACATAATCGGAGCCATATTTATTCATTTAAAAAATAAAAACTCTGCTTCGATTTTTTTTTCATTTATGACTTAGGTTATTTAAAGCTGTTTTATTCCTAAAACATTTTTCCATTTAAATTAATTGTTCGCGTTAAATATATTATTCTTTAAGAATTCACTTTTGATTTACTTTATCAGTATTGCTCACTACTGCACAGTATGTGCAAAAAGAGAACAAAGCCTTGTTGAAATTTAAGTACACCTGGCGATTTGTTTTCGCTAATTTCAGATTTGTGTGCACTGCATCTAATAACAGGTGGAAAAACTGATGATTGTTTGCTAAATACAGATATTTCCTTAATAAATAGTTCGCTGAAGATAGATTTCACTGTAAAATTTTGTTCTAGCCTATTTTTACAGTTTTTTTCCCGCTGTTAAATATTTATTAATTTTTAAATAAAAAATGTCCCAAAATTTTAAAATTTGAATAAAGAAAACTGTTAAAAATATTTTTCGAAAGCGCCAGCTTTTCATTGAAATGAAGCACAATTCGATTACTGATTGACTTTGATAATTTATAATTTTTATTAATGTGTTTATTTTAAATTTAAGTTACTTATTACGCTGGCTATACTTATATAAAACTGCTAAAAAGCTAGCATCTGTGAGGAGCTGTGCCAATAAAACCGTTTTTGCCGTAAGAGTTTCAAAACCAATATAGAGAGAGATTCCAAATGTACTTTGGCGCTATTGTTATCGATACATGTATGTGTACGTTGATCGCAATAGAAATAAATATGCAAAATATCTAATTAAGTAGAAAATAGAGTGGAACCTCAATCTATCGTTTTCCAAGCGAACAGAAGTATAAGGAGAAAAATCGATAAATGAAGAAAAAGTCTAAGCCGGGAAATTGTTATATATTGTGAATAAGCGACATGCTGTAAGTTTATGCTTACTACTTTTAATACGAGTGCTCTAAATTAAAAAGCTTACTACCAAGTCCGCAATCCGCTTTGCTTGTTAACTGAATTTTCCCTACTGATATTACATTTTTTCAAGATTTTAAATGTTCTCACAGTTTCTGCGCATAAAAAATCTTTTAAGGTACTGCAAAGCATTGTAAGACTCTATTCTTTTGTTCATTGTTATCATAATCTTCTCCCTGCGTATTTATTTGAATCCAAATTGAAAATTAGTTCTGAAACTGGAAATCTAATAAAAATAGAAATAAACTAATACAAATTTGTAGAAAGGGACTTAAGATTGCAATTTGAAATGAAATAACGTTTGAAACTGACGCTAATAACACGGACTTTTATCTGAGGTTTAAGTTTATTTTTCACCGCATATTAAAACATTATGCAATTGACAAATTTCTGCATTTTACTGCTTTGCCATTTTGCGAAAATCTTCGTCCCCTCCTGAAACCTATAAAGTGCATATGCGATTTATGAATCCTTTGACTCAGCAGCAAGTTCTCGACAACATATCGTTATACTAGCAAGTGTAGCATAAGCATATTCGATCCAGGAAATTCTTCGCAAGCAATCGCTGAGAAAGCGAAGAATGAATTAATCGAAAGCAATTAACCGAAATGGTCTATCGTCTTAATAACAGATAAAGGTTTAGTTGTAAAAAAAAATACTTGCTAGGTACTTGCGAGTTGTAAAAGAAAGCACTTGCGAGGAGAGGAAACTGCAAGTTCGAGCAACAGCCTTTAAAATTTCATAATATATCTATAATGAATGAAAATTTATAAATAACTAGCATTAAGAATATTGTAGCGAAAATCGCTCTTTTTGACCGAGCTCCTCATAGCTTAGCGGAGAAGGCGCAGGACTCGAAACCCGAAAGTACCGGGTTCGAAACCCATCAGCGTCAAGATGCCTGATAATTGGTTTTTATGTAAATATCCTTGCTGTTAATGTTATCTTATTTATGTAAATTTCCTTCTTATTCTTCCAGAACATTCCAAGTCTGGAATGTTTCAGCATGTTCACCAACTGTATATAAGTAGCTCCTCATTCAGTTCTAGTGAATAAAAAGTCTTTAGACTTTTACTTGCCTGTTCATTTATAGGATCCCCTAATCTACGCGACAGTTTGGTGGAGGCGCCGGGTATTTCTCAGTTACTACGGCAGAGTTACGCCGAAGCCTGCGGATTCGAGGACTTCCTCCTGAGTTCGGGCTCTTACAGGATTCGCGTAAAAGATCGAGAAAGATGGTTGATGAGAAGGAAACCGAGCAGAATTCTTCAGCAGGAGCCAGTTCCGCTTCAAGTTAATATCGCACCAATATCGATCCTGAACGCACCAACTACCCAGAAGCCCGTGGTATATTTGCCGAGGATAGCCAAGAAGATACTAATAGATGGCTCAAGGACTTTGATCGAATCGCCAACTATAACCACTATGATGATCAAATGTGTCTGGCGGAACGTCTTTTTTGACCTCGCCGGAACCGCTTCGACAGTGGTTCGATAATAATGACAAGATACATTTACCAGTTGGACTGTTTTCAGGACTGCTCTTAAACACACCTTTTCCCTAGTGCAGCTGATGTAAAGCGCCAAGCTGAACGAGTACTACTCACACGTGCTCAGCAAATCGATGAGACGTCTGAAGCATAACATTCAAGATGTTCTCGCTCTCTGGCAGAAAGCAAACCCATCTATGTCTGAAGACGAAAAAGGGGCCCATCTCATGAAAGGTATTGCTGAAGATTTGTACCAGGTCCTGTCGTCCCAGGACTATGACAGCGTCGATGCCTTCGTGAAACGCTGCCGTCACATGGAAAGCCTTTGACGAAGACGTATCGCCCGATCACGATTCCAGAGGCTGCCTAATGTCTCCGCGGTGTCGGCCGATGCGGACGCCAATGAACTAAGGTCAGGTTATAGAGGCACTGGCACCCCTCACAGGAGCAGGGAGGAGCAGGAGGAGGACTCGAACCCGAAAGTACCGGGTTCGAAACCCATCAACGGCAAGATGCCTGATAATTGGTTTTTATGTAAATATCCTTGTTGTTAATGTTATCTTATTTATGTAAATTTCCTTCTTATTCTTCCAGAACATTCCAAGTCTGGAATGTTTCAACATGTTCACCAGCTGTATATAAGTAGCTCCTCATTCAGTTCTAGTGAATAAAAGTCTTGAGCTTAGACTTGTACTTGCCTGTTTATTTATAGGATCCCCTCATCTATGCGACAATATGAATACCTGAGTAGTTTTCTGTTGGTTTTAGACACGAACTGAAAAGCATTAAAAAGTAAAAAATATTCTTTTAAGTGTTCAGCTGATTCTTGCATCATAGCTTAATAAATAATAAATAAAAGTAGGATCACTCTAATAGCAAGAAAAGTCATAAAATTAATTGAAAAAGTACTTAGTTTAAAAAGTTATCAATATTAATTATGTTAATTGTTATGCTAAGAAAACATTTGCTTAGAACAAATTTTAGTTTTAAATAAAGCATGTTTTTGTTGATATTATTTACAATTGTACGAAATTTTTTATTTGTCGGGGGCGAGGGTGTCTGTTGATGCTGAAACAAATATATTTTCTACAAAATAAATTAAAATTATTAGTGATGTCATCCGCTTTGGGAGCTTGTTTTGTAAATTTTTCTGGGTATCTTAAAGATTATAAAAAAGGAAATTGTTTCACATTAAATCCTCCATATGCAATATCAGTCTTCATCTTGACTTGAATTATTAACAGCAGTATTAACTCTTAATGATGACATCGAATCATGTTACAGTAATATTACAATTTACCGTTACCTTACAGTTACAGTAATATTACAACAACATTTACCTTACAACGTTGTCCGCTGTTAGCTGTTGCTACATAGTATACCAAATGTGGACAAAATAAGGAAATAATCAACTTAATATCGGAAGTGCGAATATTTAGAAAGTTATTGAAGATGCATTACATTAATTCGGTCAGTAAATTTACTCTATGTTGGTTCACAATTAGAGTATTGTCGAATATATACAAAATCTAAACAAAATTGAGAAAGAATTCATTTCATTAAAACTTATAAATGGGTAGAGGATATTAGAATTTTGGAAATAAATCATAAGAGTTCTTACAGAAATATGTTATAAGTATCGCTGACATCATCCCCCCCTGCCCTGAAAATAGTAAGTTGTGTATTTTAAAGGCTATTATGCAGTGCTTCTGGGAAGACGCTATACTTCTATTCAGATTACACCTACAGATGATATTTTAAAGTGATGAAACATTATTAAATTACTTCACATGGCAACACTCCACATGAAGCACTAATGTTCGAAGGGAACATGCAGGCCTTCTTTTAGTTGTAACTGAAATGCTAAAATGGATGGCATAAAGAATTTGGGTGCGCCATAAACTTCTGCTTATAATACAAAGGAACACATGCTGATTCCTTAAAATTCCTGAACGTATCTGAAATTAAAACTTTTATAAACTTCCAGAAATGAATCTATCTTTTTAAAGGTTTAGTTGATATTTCAGATACATCTGAAAGAGGTGCAATAAGATAATATTACTATATTAGTTAGAAGACATCATACGCTTTATAGAGGCTTCCCAGATGTACTGACTACAGTGATGCACAATTGACTACAGTGAAACATCTCAAGGTACTTCTTAATTAGCTTCCGCATTTTATGGCAAATCTGTTCAGAAAGCACTAAGTCATGATCGGATTATGAGTCATTGCTATTGGTGACCTTACTATGCTCAAATAAGCTAGTCAGAGATCCCAAATAAAATAAAACTTTTCTCGATTGTCTACATAACTTTCTGAAGGTCTTGAACCAGTGATTGACTGGGATCTGCTTGAGGAGTTTTATGAATGTCTTCGGCCTTGGTCTTGGGCTGTGTATCTAACGTAGTAGAATGCTCCATTGGTGGCATGTTCCAGGTGGAATTTCGCTCCATCCCACTAGCGAGATGAAGAAACAAAGGATGTAAGTAATGAGACTCGCCCAGCCTAAAACCGTCGAGTATTGAAAGACTCCGATCATTCAAGATATCTTGCTGATATTGTTGTTGCTGAGTTTGTTGTTGTTGCTGATTTTGTTGAGGACCACTGGACGACCATTTATGGCGACCACTGGAGTCCCTTCGTCACTGAATCCGCGGCCAGTAATTGCCTGTCACTGAAATATCAGTTGTCTGTCCGGGAACCTGCACGGGCACTGTCACTCCTGGCGAGATAACACCTGAAATAAAAATAAAAATGCCTATGTGTATCCTAAATTAAATTTCTTAATAATTTAAATATCACAATCATCTTTTTATCATTTGATACTATCATTCCCAAATCGTCCGCAAGATCATCAGTAAAAATCTGTAAATTCTCAAGCCAGAAATGTTTGCTATTAAGTCAGCTACTTCTAAAGAATTTGTACACAGTTATTTTCTATACATTCTATCAGTGAAACTGAAAAAGTCCGTTCCATTTTAAATTTCAAAAATTTATTTTTAAACAAAAATAAGAAGTTGGCTTCATTAGAGTATTTACATCATTAATGTGTTTTAATCTTTTCTGCATATTACAGAAATAAAAAAATGAATATTTTATAGACTAAAATTTATTTGAAAACTTTAATAATATTTTGAGTTTTTTATTTCTGAAAATAACTTATTAAATTTTAATTAAAAATTAAGGGCAAATCTGTTTATTATTCATATTAAAAAAGGAATTCTGTTTCCAAAGCTCATTTACACGTCGTACACATTCATCTAAATTAATTCAACACCTTTATAAACTATACATGCTATACTACATTAACCTTTTACGTTATTTAAGAAATAAAAGTAAAAACACGTAAGTTAATGAACAGCAAATTTCACTTGCCCAAGAAAGAAGAATAAAGGTTCCGGTTTCGGATATTTAAAATCCAGATCAATAAAATTCTCATTTAAATTCAGAAAAAAGTGACTGAAAATAAATTTATATTTACCAGCACTATGCGGACTAGCTCCACTAACAGCGTAAGAAGGGTGAGTATTCATTGGCTGTGCAGGTGTGCACGTGGCCCTGGAATAAGCTCCCAGACTAAGTGTGTCGTGTAACATGTAGGAATATGCTCCAGGATCCCTCTGCTGTAGACAAGAGCTTGGAGTCATGCCTGAAACCGGAGCCATACTGTAAGCAAAATGAAAATTAGAATTATACTCATTATCCCAAAACTCCTAAGCTGAAAAAGGAAATTTGAGAAAACATAGCATTTTCAGTGAATATTAGAAGATGTACATAAAATTTTGATTTTAAACAGCAATTGGGTGGTAAAAGAAATTAATATGTTGCATAAAGTGTAGCAAAAAAAAAAGTAATAAGACTGTTGTTAGACGACTCCAATTTGATTCTTTATTATTTTCAAAGGACTTGGGAGACTACTCTTCATTAGAGACTTGCATTGCTGGTTATTTAAATTGCTTCACCGTGAACGAAAGCAATCATCAGAATCACATTTATTTTACTAAAAGCATATTTATTTTAATAATACATTATGATGGAAATACCTATAAACAGAGCTATTCATAAGACTTCAGAAAGGAACGATTATTGACCTTCTGGTCAAGAAAGACAGTATTTTGGAAAATGCGCAATTACTGATTACATTTCCTGTACTGTGGTGAAAGTATACCATGGATCAGCATGCTAGAGTGGAGCAACTTACTGCTCATATGAACATAACTGTATTCCAAACGACAGTTCAGCGAATCTTTTTGCGTTTCGGCTTAGGCAGATGGTGACAACACCTATGCTTATGACTGCTCATCGGCTGGAACTTGCGCAAAGATACCAACAACGAACTTTCACAGATTGAAAAAAAGTTGCTTTCTCCAATGAATCACTTTTTTGGGGGGGGCTTTATATGACGGACGGACATTAACGCATGCGGCGAGAAACATTGGAGAACAAGGATCCATCCATCATTTGCGGACCAATACAAGCTGGCGGAGGCAACGTTATGATCTGGAAATGCTTTCATGGCATTCTTTCGATCCAGTTATTGTAGATGGCACTATGGATAGCGTTAAATACGCATCAACCTTTCAGACTGCGTACATCCATGCATACAGACTTTTCTTCCTGGCTCTTTCAGAACGAAAATGCGAATTGGTATGCAGATAATAAGTGGTGACACAGGTAGGTAAATGAGTGGCTGGAAGGGCACGAGGAATTTTTTCCTATATATTTTCTTGACACTCGAAATTCCCCAGACTTAAAGCCAATCTAAGAATCTAAGAAGAAGGACCACTTCGATCGCGTTGTTTGCTTTATGAATCCTCCAACGGCTATCAAATGTACTGTGGTTCCGTAGTCCTGTTTACACATGTAAGTACCTTACTGAGGCCCTCTTAACCGATGTGTCCGTTCTGCACATATAGTGGTTATTCTGGATATTAAAAGGTGGTCACATTAATGTGACTGAATTATGTATACTTTGTGTGCTGCTATTACTTTCCCATATTTTTTAATCATCTTTAATGCTAGAATTTTAACGCTTTCCTGGAACTGTTTTATGATGTATGCTGCAACCGAGTTTCAGTTTAAATACTACGTAAAACAGGATTTGATGAGTTGTTATCTCAAGAACTGCCGTACTTAAATTTGAACAGAAATTGTAAAAGCTTATATTACAATCAAGTGATTGTAAATATTTTCAAATTCAGGTTTTTGTCGACTTTAACTCTGTATCAATATTCGATTTTTCTCTATAAATGGCTTACATGCCTACCCAATTCTGGGCACAACAAATGTGGATTACTTTTCTCTGGCGGACACAAAAACTGCCTGTAATTTCTGATTAATCACACTTTGTATAATAATAAAATAAAGTTCTAATTAATATTTAGTTAGTTAACCTCAGAATAACAGTTGCTTAATATTTGAATATATAATCGCATGCACATACCTACTGTATGTGTCTGCAATTTTTTAGCGTGTAGAATGCATATTTGCAATAGTTTTGCTTAAAATAAAGCACCACAACTCTTGTGAATATTACACTTATTCATAACCGTGTACATAAATAGCATATACGTTTTCATAGTTTAAAAGTTTCCTAACAGTTACTGGAGTACCGTCATAACAGTTTTACACATTGCAAATACTGTATATATACTGTAATACTATAATTAGTAACTCGTGTAAACTGTATTTAATTGTAAACTGTATGGCTATATACTATTGGATATTGCTTCCGAATATCTATCATTCACCAATATTGCATTTTTTGTGCATCATTATCCTGTTGGCACCGACTATGTCATGACAGAAGTTTTCCAGATGTTCATCCATTTACAAGATATAAATGTAAAAATGCATCTTGTGGATCAGCCATCCAATTAAAGTTGCTTAAAAATTAAATGATAAACCTAGGCATATAATTTATAGGAGTCTGTACTATGACTGTACTGTATGCAGCCTCCAATAGGTTATTGCTTATCGTAATTAATAAAAGTATCTAGCTATCTCAGCGGGATATTCAAAAAATTATATTTACCTATATGAATCTGTCATTGCACCCATTGGCTGTCCCAAAGAAGAGTACATAGTATTGGCAAACGTCCCATTTAATGGTAACCGTCCGGCTGTTGGCGTCGCAACCGGTGTCGCTCCAACTTGATCTCCTGCTCTTCTTTGTGTCCGTAGCTTTTCCTCTCTTCGCCACTTTGCACGTCGATTTGAAAACCAAACCTTAGAGGAGATTTTTTTTATGCTCAGCATAAGCTGAAGCAACACATTACATAATGCATTTACAATACAATGCGTCAGAGAAATTCATATACCCCATATATAGGTTTATGCATTTGATACAATATAATGAACTGACTTAGCTTGGGGTTCATATATGCCTAATCTCGTTAGCCATTTAAAATCATGTGCTTTTGTGACATTCTTTCCAGCACTAAATTCCACACAGCAGTCGAACCAAAAATCTCCCTTACTGCATGTTTCAACTGATCGTTAGTGGCATAGCAATGTTGTTTTCAGATCTTTCAGATCAGATCAGTATTTTTAGTAATAATTTAGGGGTAGGGGATTTTCTTGAGCACATTGTATATTGTAAGATAAATTCCTTATATCAACAATATTCATCATCTAAATAAAACACATAACAAAGCCGATAAAAAAATAACTTACAGTGTAAAAAAAATTAATGTAAAAACAAATGAACAATGTAGAGTGTTCACTTGTTTTTACATTAATTTTTTTAAGTGTGAGAAATATTATTGATTAAATATACGAACTTTTGCTTGATGCAAATGTATGATGCATACAGTTTTAAAAGTAAAAAAGAAATCGTTATTGCTATTTTAGTACATATAAGTTTACGAAGGAAGAAAGTCTTCTGAAATGCAGTTTAAAATAAGTTTTCAAGATGAGCAACTGTTTAACACATCAGCAATAAACAAGAATCCTCAAATAAATTTTTAAGATGATGTTTACAGATAGCTTATTTAATTAAATATTTGTAAGAAAACTAGATTCCAAACAATTTTCCTTTTACTTTATATTCTTGGCAGGCCATAAATGATGTCTTGTATGATTTGCATACTACTGTTCCAAAGGATGATATTATATGAGACAGTTTCACTTCCTAGCTAATAAAAATTACGTTCTTTGTCCTCAACTAGACTTATGGGGAAGGTTCAAAATTATCTGCATTTTCCCTCTTTTATAGCAATTAATTTGATTTGGAACTAAAGATAATACGTAAAAAACCTCAAATCCGATGTCAAAAATGATGAATTCAATTTCTAAGTTTTCGCTTTTCACATTCCTCTTACGTTCCAAAATGATGTAAGTTCAGTAAAAGATTTCATAATCATTTCAAAACGTTTTATTTACGTTTATCACCACACGAATGAAATATTATGAGTGTTAGAAATTAACATAAATTTAAATATTTTAAAACCTTCACTAAATTTTAATTAGAAAAAGAGTTAATTTAAAAATTGAATATTTCTTCTTGAATTGTATCTTATCATAAAACTAAAATTTCAATTTTATACGATTCTTTCGCTTACCTGTATCCGAGCTTCAGGCAGAGCAATTTTTTCTGCTAGCCTTTCTCTTGCAAAAACATCTGGATAATGTGTTCTTTCGAATTCTAAGGGAAAAGAAAAAAAATTGCTAATTGAGATTTTTCATCTTTATAGTTCGATATACATAGATTTTTTTTAACTTAAGAAGAAATGAGATTGGGGAAGTAAACAAGAAGTAACTTAACAAAAAGACTCGATCTTTGAGTTTATCAGACTTTCCTAAATGAAAAAAAAAAAAAAAAAAAAAAAAAAAAATTCATGAAGATAAGATTATAAAAACCATCGTTTTTCTCTCTTCCTAGTTATATAAAGACACAAAAAACAATTCGCGTAATGTAAGCGTTTATTACTATCTGAAGCAATTATTAAGTAGGTTAAATTCGGTAATTTTATCAGGCAAAGTACGCGATGATCGTCTGCCTGAGAAATGCCTTTGTAAAAGGCTTTTCTGTAGAAAACAAGTTAGCATTTTCATCCTACATAAGCATAGTTACAAAATCTCATACAGCCAACATGTTTGATCACTAGAAACATAACTTGTCACTATGTCATTGAGCGTAAATAATTCAATTAGTTTCAAATTTTTGACTTCCTGACAAAAACTTTAATGGATATGAGGGGAATCTTGCGTTGTCTGTTTATTATGATCTTTCTGTAAGTGTGAATTTTCAGAATTTCTATTAGGTCCATGTTCTAGAATGTTATAAGACATAATCATTCTAGAAATTTCAAAGAAGGCACTATATGACGAGGTTCCAGTTGTAGACAGATGGATTTTTAGATAGAAGAAATTATCATTTAAATTATGGCAATATAGCAACTGAAGTAAATTTAATGAGCTAAGATAGAGAGTTGAAACAATAGATTAGAGAACATGAGGCAGAATTAAAAATTAACGCAAATTACTTATTTTTTCGGAAGTTTAAAAAATAGACAAAACATATATACAGCGAAAAGAAATTTTTAAGAGGCTCTTATTTTCCCTTTCAAAATCACTTGCCTGTTTCTTGGGCATACAACCAAGGTATTGGTTGAAATTTAAAATTTTAATCGAAGCGTTTGTCTTACATAAATCCTTTGAGGGCATCCAAACATATATATATATAATATTTTTAAATATTGTGAAAATCACTTTCATTCGGCAGTTTTTAAAATTCACATTTTTCTGTTTATCACATAAAATGGAATACGTGTCATTTTTTGAGTTGTAATAACGCTATTAAACTCGATATTTGTGGCGTAATTCACATTGCGTCTCCAATCGAGCTAGCAAATCCGATCCCCAGAGCAATATTCAATGTAAATATTCCCTATTTGCAGCTCTGTAGCACTTGCAAACCCGAAGAATAAATAATAACTGCATTTTCCGCCATCACCCGCAATTATCAAGCTTCTTTCATCTCGGAGTATTCCTTCATCCCGTTCTTGTATTTGTCTGGTAATTTTTTACAGATCAAGATGACTTATACTTTGCAGTTCCCTTATCTTTTGTGGTAACCGTAACAGATATCATCAATTGGAATCAAGATATGTTAACTTATTTCAATCTGTTTTGCTGAATTTATGAGTACTTTATATGAAAAAGAAACAATATAAATAATTTTTGTTCTGAATTGGAATAATCATTTCAATTTCATATCAACAAAATACAAAAATGTTTATACATACAGGGCGTTAAGAAAAGGTGGATAGATGTGCATGCTGCGTAGTTTTTTAAATATAAGTACTAGGCATGAACTTCCAGTTATAGAGTTTCTTAAATCATTGTAAAGAATTTAGCGAAAGTATTTTTAACGCTGAGGTTGGAAAAGTTCTTTTTAAAGTTAGATTTTAAATAAAATCTAACTTTTTACGTAGTAGCTATCGAAAAATAAAAGTACAGTTATTAAACATTTTATATATATATAAGTTAAATATAAAAGATTCCGCATTTTTATCTGCCCAATTGATAATTTCTAGAGAAAGAATTCGTACTGATTTAGATTTCATTTTAATGAATGCTTCTGATCATTCATCAAAAGTCTACCAAGCACGAGCTGATCATTTCAACAATTTCTGACTCCATATTACGTAGTCTTAGTTAGCTTGTAGAGTCATTACGTTTATTTGATGCGGGAGACTTGAAAAATAAGCAATGCCCTTGCCGGCACTCGAACCTGGACATCTCAAATACGTACCAAATGTGCTACCGTTACATCACGAAGGCATGCGGAAAGGAGGCAGAAAATACCTTATATACTCCCTATTTTAAAGGGCGACCGAGGATTAGAGGACCCAGTCACCAAATCCTGTTGGTGACAAATCATTTTCTACCTACTTTTAGTTCCGGCGGCACTGTAGAGTCATTAGGCGTTTTTGATGCGGGAGACGTGAAAAATGAGCAATGCTCTCGACGGGATTCTAACCTGGATCTCTAGAATACACGCCAAGTGTATTCTAGACCTTACACCAGGAAGGCATACAGAAAGGAGGGAAAAAATAACTTACAAGCTCTATGAAATTACTAATTACATATATCTCCGAGGATAGAATTTTGGAAGTAAAAGTAGAGCCTTTCTTTCTTAAGTCATTAAGTAAGGTAAACGTTTTATCAAACAACTTTTTTTTCTACATTTCGATACTCCAGGTTTATTAATTTTATGTAATTTTTGTTAAATGGATCAAAATCTATGCGATAGCTTGTATATTACGGCAACAAATGAAACGAGAATATTTTTTTTTTTTTTTCATGTCAATTCTTACTTAGTCAACAAAGAAAAATTTTATTTTAGTTACTTCTTATTAACATTTTTTCGCTTCTAATTTATGAATCTAAAGGTGGTCTATAATTTCTCATTCTATCCATCTCTTGCAATGCTTCATTATTGCAAGGAACCTTTCCAATGAGTTTCGAACCGTCCAGTTCTTCAATAAATATTCCATCTAATAATTTCACACGACTCAAGGCGATATATGCTTGACCCGCTGCGAGGAGATTTCGTCCTAGATATATTACTACATAATCTACAGTGCTATTTATTTATTTTAATAAGCAAGGGACATTTTAAAGGGTTATATTTTAAACACATATTATTATCACTTTGACATAAAAATATGGGGAGAATTTTCGCTACATAATGGCACACTACATCCGCTTCATCCAACTCTATAAAACTTTAATTCCATATACTTTAAAAATCTTTTGAACTCTGTCTTACTGTTGCCACTTATGTTTGTTAAATATTACAATCCCATTTATCACAGTCCTGTACTATTATTTATAAGTTGTTATAAAATTAATTATTACAGCGCGTGAGAATTTCTAATAAACGGTCATTATTTGTAAATCTTATAATATAGTTAATAAAAACAGCATATCTTTAGTTCCAATAAACAGGAACAAATAAGTCGGAATTGACTATAATATGTGAAAAAACTTTATTAACATCAAGTGTCATCCACTACAAGTTTAAAAAAAATGTATTTGAACTTGAGTGGATGAGTAAAAAGTATTTTATTAAAGACTGAAAATTTGAACAAGATATAGGGAGAGAATAGTAGAAATTTAAACTAAATATATTTTATGTACTTATTACAGACTCAAATTTTTCTAACTGTTTCCGTATTCTAAAGTTCAGTAGTCATCTGTAAATCAAACAGTAGGCCAATCTCCGAAAACATTTCTGGATATAAATTTGAAAGGGGACGGGAGGATCATGTGGACGTGGAACCAACTACCTTACACCCAAAATATTCAACTGTTAACTTCATTTACTTGTTTATATTATCCAGTAAGTCATCCACTTTAAATATCTCTATGATATTTTAAAGTCACCCACTTTAAAATGACATTCAAACAACAGTCAGGCTTTTAAAGTCGTTCACTTTAAATACCAGTCAAACAACAGTCATGCTTTTAAAGTCATCCACTTTAAAATATCAGTCAAACAAGAATCAGGCTTTTAAAGTCTTTCACATTAAAATACCATATTAATAAACCGACCACCGGCTAGGCTGGCTTGTGTATTGCAAATAAAAAAGAAAATTCTCGTACCATTTGAGACTTTCTAAATTTCCGAATTTAATACATTATGTTATATTATAACACTATGTTATAACAACTAACAAGAAAATTAATTTTATTAGATAATGTGTTCAAAATAAAAATTGTTAAATATAATTATCAAGACGTTTTCTGCGTTGCATAATTTGAAAATAAAAATGAAAGTCTTTCCCTTTTTCTAAATTAAAGTGAGTATTGTGTAGTTATTTTGGATAATTAACTTTATTTGTGCTTTTCTAGGATTTTATCGAAATCAAACGAGCATGTAGTAATAATAGAGAGAACGGATTAATTTATTTCACATACAGGTGTGTTAATGCACGGTAAAAGCGAATCTTCGTTGAAATTCTCGGACGAGCGGTAAAGTCGCTTAACATTGATAGTTCGATCCGAGGTTCGAATCCCGTGAACGGGCTGGCTGCATGAGCGTTTTCGTGGTTTCTCCCATGTGTAACGTCTACACGAACCAATTTTCCTTAGAAAGTCTTCCCCGAAGGCATCCTTCACTTTAGATAGCCCTCGAATGCTTTGCCATAATAAAATAAACCAAACCAACCAGACATCCGCAGGAATGATTAGCGCAACTTTGGCAGCATCTCCACCAACTTTCGTGTTTCGATGGTAGCCAGCTTTCATGGTCGACGGGATAAAACGTAAGTAGCACATATTATTTTATTAATTCTAGATAAATTAAAAAAGTCCAATAAATCCCAAATATCTGGATATTTTTAAATATTATACTGCATTTATGAGAAAAGCGTGAATTTCAGAAAAGCACGAATAAGACGGGGGGAATCCCGTTGCTTCTCAAAAATCTACATTTGGGGCTAACACGTTTATTCATTTTATGGAATTATTTTTAATTGGTAAAGAAATATAATTTTGATTTAACTACTCTGAATGTAGAAATTTATTACAACCTTAGAAAAAAGTTCAGAATACTTTATACTTGTTAAGACGAACACGTGTACTATTAAAGATGAATACTTTCTGGTCTTTGGATATAGAATGTATTAATGGTAT